ACTACTGCTACTACTACTACTACTACTACTACTACTCTACTACTACTGTGCTACTATACTACTACTACTACTTACTATTACTATTACTACGACGACGACGACGACGACTACTACCACTACTACTACTACTACTACTACTACTACTACTGCTACTACTACTACTACTACTACTACTACTACTACTACTACTACTACTACTACTACTACTACTACTACTCATCCTCATCCTCATCCTCATCCTCATCGTTCTCCTCCTCCTCCTCCTTCTCTTCCTCCTACTCCTCCTCCTCCTCCTCCTCCGTCCGCCCTCTCTCACCTCTATCCTCCTCCTCCTCCTCCTCCTCCTCCTCTTCCTCCTCCTCCTCCTCCTCACCTCCTCCTCCTCCTTCTCTTCCTCCTCCTCCTCCTTCTCCTCCTCCTCCCCCCAGGATCCGTGCAACCGGTGGCTGCGCAGGGAGTGGGACGCGCTCCTCGACTCGGTGGGCCCCGGCCGCCAGACGCGTCGGCGGGAGCTGCGGGGGGGGGAGGAACAGCAGAAGTGGGGTGGGGCCTCCGTCCCTCCTTCCTTCGTGTCTCCGCACATCCTTTGTCCCCCAGACTGCTCGCGTCGTGGAAAATCACGAGGCGGGGATGTCTCCGTTTGCGGCCTCCGCGGGCCCTCGTCGGGCCCCAGGATCGTTAAAACGTGCCCAGGGTGAGAAGCGGACCCAGGGGAAGGGGTCGGGGCTTCTGGGGACCCCGCATAGGAACAGTGAAAATATCGGATGGCCGTTCGCGGCGCTTGGACAAAGCCAGTGGGTTGTCTTCGAAGTTTTCCAGCAATCCTGCCGTTCGGCTCCACAGTTGTTCCGTCCTCGGGTGGTGCGCCGTGCTGGTACACCAGGCTTCTGGTCCCAACAACGAGATTCAGGCACCCCAGCGCCATATCACCTCAAGCTTCCCGTTATCCCTGCCTCCTCCTCTTCCTCCTCCTCCTCCTCCTCCTCCTCCTCCTCTTCCTCCTCCTCCTCCGCCTGACGCTCACGCTGTGGGCATGAAGGTCGATGTCTGCGTCGCCACTCCTCCTCTTCTTCCTCCTCCTCCTCTTCCTCCTCCTCCTCCTCCTTCTCCTCCTCCTCATCACGTTCCCCACCCTCCCCCGCTTCCCCTGGTGCCCTCCTCCCTCCAATCTCTTCTTGCTGTCTTCCGCTCGTCCATCTTCCCCCTGCTGTCAGCCCCCCACCTTCCCCACCGACCCCACCCTCCACCCACCCACCCCCAGCCCACCCTCCACCGAAGCCCGCCCCCCCTCCCCACCCATCCCCGGCTCTCCCCAATTTGCATTACTTTTTTCCCCTGGAGGAGGCCTCCGGGGGTCCCCGCGAGCCCCCGGGAAAGCCCCGGGCTCCAGAGGGAAAGGATGATTGGAGGAGGAGGGGGATCAGGGCGAGAAGAAGGAGGAGGAGGAGGAGGAGGAGGAGGAGGAGGAGGAGCCAGGGGACAGCCTAGCGACGCTTGTGCGAAGGAGTCCCGGGCCAGAGCAGGGCGTCTCGGGTCTCGTCTTTGCGCCCGCGAGGCCCAGAAAGAGCCCCAAACCCTCGATATTCGATTTCCCCCGCCGCTGCGCCCTAGCCGGGGCGAGACGGCCCAAAAGGTCCCCACGATGGCCCAAGAGGCTTACTTACAAGGTAGCCCCAACCCAGATATGCGATTGTTTGTTCCCAACCATCCCGTGGAGTTGGGTCCTCGCTTTGAAGGCACAGCGCCCCGCGTCCTTCCTCCTCCTCCTCCTCCTTCCTTCTCCCATCCCTGCCTCTGGTCTCCACCTGTCTCTGTTTCGGCGCACCCCTCACACGCTGCGTGGCCCAATAGGGAGGTCCACCGAAGGCCCCCCGCACCCGATTCGGAACACCCCTCACACGCTTCGTGGCCCCATAGGGAGCTCCACCGAAGGCCCCAGCGGCAAGGTCCGCATAGCACCACACCCGATTCGGTACACCCCTCACGCGCTTCGCGTGGCCCCACTGGAAGCTCCACCGAAGGCCCCAGCGGCAGGGTCCGCATGGCGCACCCGCACCCGAGTCGGCACACCCCTCACACGCTTCGTGGCCCAATAGGAAGCTCCACCGAAGGCCCCAACAGCAGGGTCCGCATGGCACATCCGCACCCGATTCGGCACACCCCTCACACGCTTCGTAACCCCATAAGGGAGCTCCACCGAAGGCCACAGCGGCAGGGTCCGCATGGCGTCCCCGCACCCCATTCGGCACACCCCTCAAACGCTTCGTGGCCCCATAGTGAGCTCCCCGCGGCAGGGTCCGCAGAGCGTACCCGCACCCGATTGGGCGCGCCCTTTACATTTTTCACGCCCACCTGGGGAGCCCCACCGAAGGCCCCAGGTCCGCATGGCACACCCACAGCCGATTCGGCACACCCCTCACGCGCTTCGTGGCCCCATAGGAGCTCCACCGAAGGCCCCCGCGGGCAGGGTCCGCACGGCGTCCCCACACCGGATTCGGCGCAACCCTTACAGGCTTCGTGGCCCCACAGGGAGCCCCACCGAAGACCGCAGCGGCAGGGTCTGGATGGCGTCCCCGCACCCGGTTCGCAAACCCCCACGTTTCGTGGCGCCAAGTGGACAGGAACGTAGAGCACAACGGAAACAAGGGCGGGCGAAAGAGCTGTGAAGGAAATGGGCAGGACAACGGTTGCGTTCGGGGTTCGGGCCAAATAAATCATCTCCCCGCGAGCCCGTGCCCGCTGTTAATTTCCAAGTAACGCCGCAGTCCTTGTGGTGGCCCCCCTCCTCCTCCTCCTCCTCCTCCTCCTCCTCCTCCCCTCCTCCTCCTCCTCCTCCTCCTCCTCCTCCTCCTCCTCCTCCTCCTCCTCCTCCTCTGCCTCCTCCTCCTCCTCCTCCTCCATTTCACCCTCCCCGCGAGGCCCGCAGCTGAATATGTTTGGGTCCTTCGCCTGGCTAATTTGTTCCGTGTCCCGACCCTTTCTCCGGGCTGGCGGTTCACCCCAAGTCTTGACGGTCCTGAGCCCTGGCGGTGCCCCAGGTGCCGAAGAACGGGCGTTGCTGAATTGAACCCGTCCTTGCGCTTCTTGACAAAATTTTGCGCTGTTGACTTGAGCCTGTCCCTGAATCGAACCTGCCCTGGCGAATACAGGAGCCGAACGCACCTGCGTTGTTCGCTGACTGTCCTGAGCCTCCGAATCGAATTGCTCCCAGCGCCGAGCGTTTGGACCCGAGAGAGTCCCAGGGCGGCCCCAGAGGGCCTCGGGAGAGACCCACGACGGCCGAGCGGGGGCCCCCCGGCCCGTGACGGCGCCAAGCCGGCCCTACGTGTGTGATCCCCAGGGGAGGCGCCGGCCCCCGAGGGCCTCGACCACCTCGGGGCTCCAGAGACGGGGGCCAGTGCGGACGTCAAGTCGGGCGTGTCCCTCTACAGGAGGAGGATTCAAAAACAGCCCAGAAATTGTCTGGGGACGATTTTTTGAATATTTTTGAATCATGTTTGACCTTGTTTGGATTATTTTGCCTTTATCATCGGAAATCTCCCTGTAGGATGACATGCCAGACCTGCTGCAAACGGGGGGCCCAGTCAGAGCGCCAGATCTTGCAGGATGCTGCAGGGCCAGGGTCGTACTGACCCGGGCTCGGGTGCAGGGTCCTGCAGGGTCCTGCAGGATCTTTCAGGGCCCTGCAAGGCCTGATTGACCCGGGTTTGCACTGGCTCGGGTCAGAAGATCCCCGACCTTTTCCCCAGGGCACGTGGAGAAATGCTGCATGCTGGGGCGCGCTCCCAGCTCCACGAGGGGGGCTACACGCTGGTCGTTGAAAGTAGGTTTCTTTGGATCCCCAGACCCAAATCTATGTTGGACGCCTTCCTACTTCAACTGTCAAGCGGTTTTCCTTTTTCCCTCCTCTTCATGGGCTAGGCGGAAGCCCAATCTACTTTCAACCCTTTCCTACTTCATGCTTCCACCCACCTCTTCCGACTGGCGGGTTCGGATTCCCGCTGTCTCGTGCACCACTTTTCGATGTGAATTGGGCGGGTTGACGTCTGATTAAGCATGAATGAAGATGTCTTAGATGGCACCCGATGCAAAGCCACGTGGTGGCGGCCGGCGTCTCGTCCTGAGTCGTTTCTGAGACGGCCCCCTGACCACGAGGGAACGGCCCCCAGAGGCCGAAAACGAGTCCTCACCACGCATCAGATCACACTGCGCGCCGTCGTGAAAAGTTGGGAGGGTGGGACTCCTTTGCAGATGATTGTGCTAAGTATTGGTGTGCTGTGCTCGCTTTCACGAGCAAGCCGCTCGTCGCTGCTTGTCTTGCTGCGCGCGGACCGCAAGGCCCTCCGCTCGTCCGCCCCGGGGGCCCTGGCTCAGGTCAGATGTAGCCAGGACCCCAGTGAAGGGGAGCCGGTTAGTGATTGGGACCCGAGGCCCCAATAATGAACCAGAATCATTAAACGAACTCCACAGGCCCCCTTGGGTCAAGGAAAATCACGACGGGAGGTTGTTCGCTACTTTCGGCCCGGGGGCCCTTCCCTGGCCTCGGGACCGTCAAGAAACGACTCAGGATGAAAAACCGGTCCCCGGGAGAGGGTCCAGGCTCCTGGGGCCACGGCATGAAAACATCACGACGTCGGGGGTCTGGCTGTTGGGAACCAAGTCTGCCGTAGTTGCTGTGTCTCTTCGGGTGGCGGCAGTGCCGATTAGTGGAGTCAGGCGGGGTTTGGGCATCCCCCGGCAAACATCACCAGACCAGAACAACTACACACCCAGTCCCGCCAACGCCCGACCAGGTGCGCCAGAGGCAGCGGCACCAGCTGCCCTTTGCCGGGGGCCTGCCCTCGCCGGGGCCAGGACTGGCCTCGTGGGGGGGGGGGGCAGCTGCTGCGCCCGGATCTCCGGCGCTGTGCTCTGTGCAGCCCCGGCGCTTCTCCCGGGCCTCGGCCTCCTCAGACCGCCTCGAGTCATGGAGCAGAAATCACGACTGGAGGCGTTCCGCTACTTTCGGCCTCGGGGGCCCTTGCCGGGCCTCGGGACCTTCAAAAACCGGCTCAGGACGAAAAGCCGGTCCCAGGGAATGTGCCCTGGGGGTCGCTGTTATGAAAACATCAGGATCATCGGATTTGGGAATATTCCAGTCGCGACTGGCCACATCGGTCGCTAACGATTCTGCCTGAGAATCTGGGATCGATCGCGACCGATTTAGACTGACCGGTATGGGTCGGTACCGATCGCGGCCGAAAAAAGTTGGTGTCCAGTGGGCCCGTCAGCGGGCCCACTTGGGCCATCCAGAGCGGGGCCGGGACGAAGCGCTGCCCCGGGGGGAAGGGGCCGCGGAGAGAAAGGGTCAGATCCCCCGACCCCCTCGGGCAATGAAAAAAAATGACGGGAGTTTTTTTGTTATTTTCGGCTTCTGAGGGCCCTTACCGGCCCTCGGGACGGTCAAAAAACGCTTCAGGATGAAAAACCAGTCCAGGAGAATGGGTCGAGACCTCCAGGGGCCGACGCAATGAACAAATTATGACGTCAGGGGTCTGGGTTATCGGATGTCTGTCGGCCACGCGCAGAGGGGGCAGGATGAGGGTGGGAAAGCTTATCAGAAGGAGGCTGCGTCTTAGAAAGCGCGGGCCTTGTCTGTAGATGTAAGACCAGCGCCTTCTCAGAAGCAGCCTCCTTCTCAGAAGCCTTCCCCCCTCCCCCCCACCCCCTTTGTGCGCGCCGCCAAGTCTGGGTGGTGCTCCTGCTCCGCCCTTCCCCTTCCCTCGTGGAAGCGGAAGACTCGAGTATGCCAGAATTCGGGTTCGCTAACGCTTTTTCACGGGCCCGTCCTGCTGTTTTCGTGGGATGTTTGCAGCGGGAGCTCGCCGCGTCAGATTTCAGATTGAGCCTCGTCATTTTTCTGACGGCCCCGTCAGGCCAACCCGAGTCCCTCGAACCCGAGTCTTTCGTCTCCTCGACCCTTCTCCGAGGCGGGGGTGTATATATATATATATATACACACATATACATATACATATATATATATATATATATATATATATATATATATACCCACCGCCTGGAGGACCGATTTTCGGAGGCCTCGACGGGCGGTATAGATCTGGGTATGGTCGGGGCCCCTGGGGCCCAACTACGTCCACATCCGCTGCCGCTGCCCACTGGGGTCCCAGGACGTCGCTTCCACGAGCGGTGGATATGCACACATCCCTGCCTCGCACCCTCCCTCTGCGGTCGGGCGAGGGAGTGGGTCCACAGGGAGAAGGGCGGCACGAGACGAGATCCGCTCCGTGCAGCGTGCAGCTGATTTCGGCCCCTCCTCCTCCGCCTCCTCCTCCGCCGCCGCCTCCTCCTCCGCCTCCTCCTCCTCCGCCTCCGCCTCCTCCTCCTCCTCCGGCTCCACCAGGCGCTCTTCCTCGATACACTGGTGCCTCCCAGCGCTGGGAGGCGCCGGGGAAAGCCAGCCGCATGAGCTGATCCGCTAACCCCCTTTTGACTGAAGCCCCCTGCTTTGTCCCACCCGACCCTCCCCCCCGCTCGATGGTCGAGGCAGCGCATCCAGAAGATTGCAGTGGGGACACGCCTCAAGAGGCCAGGTGAGCGACTCAGAAAAACGGGGTCGCCGTCATTCGCACGTCAGCTGCCCGCGCAAGCCCGCGCGGAAACGCCCTCGCTTCACATGTGGCGTGCCGCGCTACCCGCGTGAGCCACCTCGTAAGGTCGCTGTGCCATCTCGCGTGGGACCTCTTTCTTTTCGTCGCTCAGGTGCTTCTGTGACCAGGGTGCCTTCGGTGTCGTCCGCGCGCGTGCTGCGCGATGGCTCCGCACCGCAAGGCACACGTTCGGGTGCGGCCTTCGTGGCGCGAGCCCCGCCTCGCCTGCCTCTCGAGGAGCTGTGGTGTGCTCCTGGCTGGCCTGCTGGCCGCGACGGGCCCCTTCGGGGTCCAGGACTGCCCAGCACGGCTCCGAAATAAAGAGACCCCTGGAAGTCCCAGGAGGTGGAGGGGAAGGAGGTGCGGTGAAGGGGGAGCGAGCCTCCTCCTCCTCCTCCTCCTCCTCCTCCTCCTCCTCCTCCTCCTCCTCCTCCTCCTCCTCCTCCTCCTCCTCCTCCTCCTCCTCCTCCTCCTCCTCCTCCTCTCCTCCTCCCCCTCCTCCTCCTCCTCCTCCTCCTCCTCTCATCCTGCCGCAGCGCGCCTCCGCGCGTCTACAGTCCGCGCCCACCGCCGCGGCCCGGGTAAGTCGTTTTCTGGTGTATCGAGGGAGCGAGGAGCTCCTCTCCTCCTCCTCCTCCTCCTCCTCCTCTTCTTCCTCCTCCTCCTCCTCCTCCTCCTCTCCTTCCTCCTCCTCCCCTCTCCCCCCTCCTCCTCCGCCTCCTCCTCTCTCCTCTCCTCTTTCCCTACCCTCCTCTCCTCCTCCTCCTCCTTCTCCTCCTCCTCCTCCTCCTCCTCCTCCTCCTCCTCCTCTTCCTCTCCTCCTCCTCTCACATCCTCCTCCTCCTCCTCTTACTCCTCCTCCTCCCTCCTTCTCCTCCTCCTCCTCCTCCTCCTCCTCCTCCTCCTCCTCCTCCGCCGAGTGTCCCCGACCGTGCTCTCGTGCATCCCGAGGCTCATCATGGAGGAGGGGCACAAAGGTAGAGGCTGGGCCCCGCTCATGTGCACCCAGGGGGTCCAACTTGCTCTCGGCGAGGCTGGATCCGAGGGTTGTACTTCTGGCCCGTCCACTCTGGCCTCGCCTTGAATGGCTCGGGCACCCAAGGAGGCCGTGGCTCTTGCACCATGCTCTTGATAGGGGGCGAGTGGCCGGCCCACTCGGCGTGGTATTCCCAAGCCCTTCATATTGAGGCAATTGTTGGCCGACTTCCACCTCGGTGATCAGCAGCTTCACTTCATCTCGGTGGCCTCGTTTGTCTGCAAGTCTGCAGACGTCCGCTAGAAGTCGGCAAAGGTTTCCTAGAGCCCAGTAGGTCACGCCTGGCTGGGGGGACGCACAGCCAGCAGGCCACGCCTGCTGCATCACCGTTCTCGACCACCTGCTGGAGGGCGTCAGCGTCCAGCAAGAAGCGGTACGCTGCAGACCGTCCGCCATAGCCGATGACGTCGTGCTTTTGTTTCTTTGTACCTCCGTCCTCGTAGCTGATGCTATCGGGCTCGTGCGTCACTGTGCCTCCCTCGTAGCGAACCGGCATCGGGCCCACTCTTCCCGGATGCACCGTCCTCTGTCGGGCATCCAACATCGTAGCTGTTTGAATCGGGTTCGAGCTTCGCTGTACTACATCTGTAGCTGATGGCATCGGGTTGATACGTTGCGACATCTCCTTCGTGGCTGACGACATTGGGCTCTTGATTCGTTGTGCGACCGTCGTAGCTGATGGTATCGGGTTCGTGTTCCGCGCCATCTCCCTCGTAGCTGATGGCGTCGGATACACGCTGCCAGCTGCCCTTTTAGGCCGCTGCATGTTTCTCCTCATCTGCATCCTCCTCCTCCGAAATCTCGCTGGTGACGTCCATTGCATCAAACTCCGATCCCGCTTGTGATGACGCCCTGCTGTCGCACGGCGTTCCCAGCCTACGGCGGGGTCTCTTGATGTTGCGCCTGACCAGGTCGTATTTCGGGTCCCGGTACTGGGCGCATTCCCAGCGCACCTGCGGGTCCCCGTAGTGCTGCAGCTGGGGAATGATGTAGTCTATCTCCGCATCGATCTGCTCGAGGGTGGGGTAGTACATGGTGTGCTTGTCCTCGATAGCCTTTCTGGCCGCAGCCTCTCTGGTCTCCTCTGCGGAACCCCCGCGCTCGCTGTCGTAGCTGACGACTTCGGACTTGTGGTTCGCGCCGCCACCGTCAGATCATATCGCGTCGGGTTCGTGCTTCCTGTCACCTCCCGCGGAGCTAATGTCGTCTGGCTCGTGCTTCGCGATACAAGCCCTCGTAGCTGACGGCGTCGGGCGCGTGCTTCGTGTGACCTCCCCCGCAGCTGTCGACGTCGGGCTCGTGCTTCGCTGCGCCACTCTCGTTGTAGATGGTATCGGGCTCGTGCTTCTCTGCGCCTCGTAGCTGATGGCGTGCTGCACGTCACCGCCCTCGTAGCTGATGACGTCGGGCTCGTACTTCGTGTTGCCACCCTCGTAGGCTCTGACGCTGGGCTCGCGGGTGGTAGCTGCCTCTGCCCTGCAACTGCTCCCACTGACGGCCGCTCTCGTTTCTTCTTGCACGTTGCCCTGGTTGCCGCTTGCTCCCACTGCCGTCTCGTCTCGCAATGCAGGCGCCTCTGCCGTAGTCTCTGCCGCCATTGCTGGCCTCTGTTTACTACCACTGCTTCCCGCTGCCACTGTCCGCACATGGTCTGTAGCTGATGACATGTGGTGTGCACTGGTGCACACTGCTTGCTGCCACTGTTGGCCCCTCCCACGGCGCGGCGCAAGGGCTGCCGGCATTGCGTGGCCTGCTTGCTTCTGCCACCAGTCCTGCTTGCCCCACCAATCGTGCCACCCGCGCAGCTGGTTATTTTCATGGGGCACGGCACATGTTGAGCGCTTTGATGAGCCCATCTTGTTGTTGCATCGTGTCCAATGTCGCAGGCCTAGAGGTTGACACCAGCACCAAGATCGGCGGCGTTCCTCCACCGAGGGAAGAAAATCCCGATCTCGGTGATGGTGGTAATGTTGTGGCTTCCAAGGTGACCGAAATATTACCAACACCGAATTCTAGGATCGTCTCCACCCTGTGGAGGCAGCCCCGTGTCCTGGTGTTGGTGCCCATTTCCAGGCCTCCAACAATGCGGCTCTCGGAGCCGCCTGCTGCTCGGCTCTACGCAGGAGGCGGGCCTGACGGGCCCGGGAGTGGGCGGCGCGCGGTCGGAGGGCGCGCGGCAGGCCCGCGGGCCCCGCGCGCAGCGGGGGCGGGCGCCAGGCCCAGCATGGCCCTTCCTCTCCTCCTCGCCATCCTCCTCCTCCTCCTCCTCCTCCTCCTCCTCCTCCTCCTCCTCCTCATCATCACATCATCATCATCATCATCATCATCATCATCATCATCATCATCCATCATCATCATCATCATCATCACATCATCATCCTCCTTGCCGCCTCCTTTCCTCTTCTTCTTCTCCTCCTCCTCCTCCTCCACCTCCTCCACCTGCTCCTCCTAATCCTCCGCATCCTCCTCATCCTCCTCCTCCCCCGCATCATCCTCCGCATCCTCCTCCCCTCCTCCTCCCCTCCTCCTCCTCCTCCTCCTTCTCCTCCTCCTCCTCCTCCTCCTCCTCCTCCTCCTCCGCATCGTCATCCTCCTCCTCATCCTCATCCTCATTCGCATCCTCCCTCCTCTTCTCTTCCTCCTCCTCCTCCCCTCCGCCTCCCTCTTGTGAGCCCACGGGAATCCACGGACGGGGGAAGGGGGGGGGAAAGCAGTTGCTGGCGGCCGCAAAGTGGCAGCTCCAGGGCAGCGGCGCTGGCGGCGGTTGAGCTCAAGGTCGCGCGCGCGCGCCCCCCGACGGACGGGTCCGCGCGCGGCTCGGCGCCGACCCGCCGTGCGCCGCCTGGCCGAGAACGCCTTGCGCGCCTGCCCAGACCCCCGACGCCTTGACTTGATACACCACTTCGACCCCTGAAAGGGCTCGTACCGACTCCTCCCATTCGGTTCGATCCGATGTCGGTGGGTTCCGATTCCGATCCGAGAAGACTTCGGACTCCGCTGCTGATTCCGAGTTGGCGATGGAGGCCTCATAAGCCTGTCGATTTCCGCTGAATCGACTTCTCCCGACTTGGCTGCCGATTTCCGCCAATCCGATTCATTCCGACCGATTTGATTCTGGGCTCTCCTGCACAGAGGTCGCGGCCCGCTCCCCGGGACTGGTGTCTCATCCTGCGCAGTTTTTGACGGCTCAGGGGCCTGGGGAGGGCCCACGGAGTCCGAAAATCGGAAAAGATGATAAATCAGGTTTCATGCTCATCATCATAATAATCATAATGACAATAATATTGATAATCATCAGAATACTAATGATAATCTCAATGATGATAACAACAATAACAATAGTAATACTAATAATAATAATAATAACAATAATAATAATGGTAATATTAGTAATAATAATAGTAGTAATAATAGTAATCCTAATAATATTGATGATAGTAAACATACGAACAATAATAATAAGAATCATCATCATTATCATCAGCACCATCATCATCATCACCATCATCATCATCATCATCATCATCATCATCATAGTAATAATAATAATAACAATAAGAATAGAATAACAATCATAAGGATACGAATAAGAATACCAATGATAAGAGTCATACGATTAATAATGCCACTAGTATTATTATTAATCATCATCATAAGACGAATATTAATCATAATAATAGTAGTAATAATAATACGGAGCAAAATAACCTTAATAATCATACTCATAATAGTACTAAGAATGATAATGTTAATAATGCTAATAATACTGATACGAAGAACAAGAAGAAGGCTAATAATGCTATGCTGTGCGTTGACGACGGCGGGTCCGCGCGTCGCTCGAGCCGGCCTCCCGTGCGCGCCGCGCTGTGGCGCCGAAGCGCACGGCGCCGCGGCGCCTTGTGCGTTTTCGGGGCGCTGCTAGGTGGAGGCCGAGGGCCCGGGGGGGCGGGGGCCTCAAGCCGAGGCCGAGAGGGCCCCAGAGAGGCCCCCAAGTGGCGCGAGAAGCCGGGAGCACCTTGGGCCAGGGCCGACGAGACGTAAGAGCGACCCTTCGCCGGAGTGACCTTTGCCACGGGCCCAGTGGAGTCCCCCGACGGCCGAGCGCGAAGCGGTAACAGCGGCTTGCGCGTCCAGGTTTGGCCACCCCGCGTCCCCCGTTGAGCCGCGCACCAGAGGCCCCTCTTGCCCAGGGTCGCTCTTGCGTGCAGCCGAGAGGACCACTTCTAGCAGCACCCGAGCGTCTGCGACGCCCGTCGAGCAGAGCGCGAGCCCGCCCGCCTCCTCCGTCCGCCTCCCCTCTTCGTCCGCCCCTCCGCGTCCGCACTTCCTCCCCGACGTTGTCCGCCGCCCCCCACCCCCCCAGAAACCCACGCCCGCCCCTCTTCGTCGGCTCCTCGCCCTCCTCGCCTGCTCCTCCCTCTCCCGCCGCCGACCTGCGGCGGCGCCGCCGCGAGCCCCAGGGCGCCGGGCGGCGCCCCGCGCGTCTGCAGCGCCCGTCGAGCAGCGAGCCAAGTCGCGCGCGAGCACACGCCTGCCGATCGCGCCGGCGGCACGCCGACCAGCGGCGGCGCCAGTCGGCGGGCCCGAGGGCGCCGGGCGGCGCCGAGGGCCCGCGGCGGCGCGCAGCGCGCTGCGTTGCGCGCTCGCCGTCGTCGTCGTCGTCGTCGTCGTCGTCGTCGTCGTCGTCGTCGTCGTCGTCGTCGTCGTCGTCGTCGTCGTCGTCGTCGTCGCCTTCGTCGTCGCCTTCGTCGTCGTCGTCGTCGTCGTCGTTGTCGTCGTCGTCGTGGACGACAAGGGAGCACCTCTCTGGGGCCGCAGGCTGAAGAGATCAGGTCGCACTCGGCGAGGCCATGGTCGTTGGATGACGCCTGCAGCCCTCTGGTGGTGCCCTCTGCCACGCGGGCTGCGTCGACCCCCCTTCATCACGTCCTCGCGTCCTCGCCCTCCTTCAGTCTTCGCGCGCGCTCACGGGGGACAGGAAGGAGGACGAAGGAAGGAGGAACGGAGGAGGACGGAGGAGGAAGGGAGGAGAAGGAGGAGGAGGAGGACCAGGAGAACGGAAGGAGATAGGAAGAAAGGGGAAAAAGGAGGTCAGGATAGCGAGGACGACGACAACGACAACGTCGACCTCGCGCCGCGGGCGGGGCTCGCGCGGGCAGGGGGGGGGGGACGCCAGGACAGCCGGCCCTACACGCCCCGCAGTATTGGCAGCTCCAGTCCGAGCGCTCTTCGTACACAGGCCACCTCCATGAAGAGGGGCGGGAAGAATGGGGGGAGGGAGCGGGAGAGGGCGCGGAGGCAGGAGGGGGGGCACGTCGTGAACAACCAGACGTCGGATGTCAGGTGGTGGGGGGAGGCTGCGGAAGGAGGTCGAGGAGGAGGGGAAGGGCGACGACGAGGGTGGCAGCAGAGCGGCGGCGGCAGCAGCAGCAGCAGCAGCAGTAGAAGAGGGAGGAGCAGGACAGAGAGGATGAGAAGAAGGAGGAGGAGGAGGACGACGACGACGAAGAGGAGGAGGAAGCGCAGGAGGAGAAGGCGGAGGGATAGAAGGAGGAGGAGGAGGAAGAGGAGGAAGAGGTGGAGGAGGAAGGCGGAGAGAGGGCAGGGGACGACGAGGAAGAGCGGGAGGAAGAGCAAGAGGAAGAAGAGGACGAAGACGACGAGGCGCAGGGGGAGACGGGAAGGACCAGGAGGAGCAGGAGGGAGAGGATATGGGGGAGGATGGGGAGAAGGAGGTTGAAGGAGGACCAGGACGAGGATGAAAAGAAGTTTGATAAGGACGAGGAGGAGTGGAAGAAGGAGGAGGAGGAGGAGGAGGAGGTTGAGGAAGAGGCCCTAACTGCGAGGAGGGCGAGGCCGAGGGCGAGGAGCGGGGCGTGGCCGAGCGCGCCAGGCCGGGTGCCGACCGCGAGCGTGCCTCAGCACGCGGGCTTCCCGGAGGCGCCTGGCGGAGCGCGACGGGGCGAGGGGGGGAGGGGGGGAGCTGGGGGGGGGGGGGACAGGGGCCACACGCGGAAAGGGAGAGGCGGGCGGGGGGGGGAGAGGAGGTGGAGGAGCAGAGGGGGACTGGAGGGGAGGGAGGGGGAGGGGGGGCTGGGGACAAGGGGAGAGGGTGGGGAGGAGGAGGGGGAGGGGAAGGAGGAGCAGGAGGGGGGGAGGGCGTGGAGTGGGGTGAGGGAGGGGAGGCGGGGCGAGAGCAAGAGGAGGAAGGCGAGGAGGTTGATAGGGAGGGGAGGCGAGTGGAAGGGAGAGAGCTGCAAACTAGACGCGCATCTGGTATCCTACCCGTCCCGCCCAGCCCAGTCAGTGCTTTCGCAGTTGTGCACCTGTGGTGAGAAAGAAGGGAAGAAGGAAGAGGACCAATATGAGGAGGAGGGGCATACGGAGAAGGGAGAGGGGGAGGCCAGGGAGGAGAGGATTGAGGAGGATTGAGGAGGAGGGGGCAGAAGAGGGAGCAGGAGAAGCAGGAGCAGCAGGAGGAGCAGGAGACGGGGGAAAAGGAGGAAAAGAAGAAAGATGAAGAGCGGAAGGAGGAACAGAAGAGGGGGAGCGGGACGACGAATTGAACCAGGGACGCAGGAGTGTCGAGCCATGGCCTTGTGCAGCGCCGAGCTGAGAGCGCCGCTTTGAACAGCCAGAGACGTCTCGATGTTGGGAACACTTACGCACACACACACACACGCACGCACGCACGCACGCACGCACGCACGCACACACACACACACACAGACAGACACACACTCAGACACACACACACACACACACACACACACACACACACACACGTGCGCGCGCGCTTGTTTGGCGTCGCGGCCCTGCGCGCGGCAGCAGGGCGTAGAAAGACACACACACACACACGCATATACGCATATACGCACACGCACACACACACACTTTTTGGCGTGTCGTCCACACTGCGGCGTAGGAAGGTTCGGAGAAGCGCGCGCACCGGACACACACACACACACACACACACTCACTCACGAACGCACGCACGCACGCACACTCACACACACACACAAACACACAATCACACACAAACACACACACACACACACACACGCATTCGACGGCGCCAGACGTTGTCGAGAGGAGCGGGCGCGTCAAGCCACCACGCGCAAGCTCCGCACAACCGCCGAAGAGGCCAACTTTTTTTGGAAAGGACCCGGAAAAAGGAGGCAGCAGGAGCTGCCTGAAAACAAGGACGTTGCGAAATTGACCACGCCAAACAAGCAGTGAAAGCGTCGTCAAATGGCCGAGCGCGCGTTCAGCCACGGCATGCACCGCGCAGGAGGCGGCGTGCCCAGGCGTCGGAGACAAATCGCGCCGGCCTGCTGCTCTTCAGCTTGGGCTTCCAGGGGCCCGTTTCGGGCCCCGGGGCGGTCCAAGAAGGGCGCGGGATGACTGATTCACATGGCGAGGTTCGACCTTGGAACACACAGCTCGAGGTCTGATACCCATGGTGAGGTCGAGAAGCCAGAGGGCCCCCGTCGCGCAGAAGTCGTGATGCCGCACGGCTCTCCATGGGCGTTGTGGGCACCCCGCGCGGGACGACGCAAAGTCAGAGAGCAGGCAGGCCCGGGGCCTGTCCCGGGCGAAGGGGCGAGGGTTTTGGGGCGTGCGTGGCGTGGACAATGAAAGGACACAAGGCCCCCTCAGGGATCCTGCAACGCGGCTGGGCGCCCCTCCTCTCCTCTCCTCACGCACTCATGAGCGAAAGAAAGACCTACATGTATATGAATCCATGTTGGTTTCGAGAGTACGCGTTGCGCGAACGTTCGTATCACGCGGCCGGTCTCGCGGACTGCGGGGCCGCGTTCATGTACGTGGTTTTGCGCGTACGTCTTTCATGGGCTCCCTATGAACTCCACCTCATCTGCGTTTCCGCTTGGCGGCAGCGTTCACTGGCACATGGGCGTCGCAGAAAAACGCGGTCGGCCGCGCGGACATCCTCAAGCAGTGGCGAAGCGTCTTGGCTCGCCGAAAGCCCTACCAAACAATGTTCTAAGAACCGTTCGTGGTTTCCACGATATGTTCTTAGAACATGTCTGGCGGAGCCTGTCTTGTTCTATCACATCGGGTTTATGTTCTAAGAACATTATTGGTGTTCTTCTAACGCTTGTGGGTTCTGAGAACATTTCGCGGTAGGACTATAGGAATGCCGGGACGGTCGGCCCCTGCTCAACATCCGCGCGCAAGCTTCCTGGGCAAGGTCGCGCCCGTGGCGTGACGCCCGTGGTGCCCGCGCGCTCGTGGGCAGAAGGTAGAACCAGTGCCTGCTGCGTGGGTGGGCGGGGAGCCCGACAGACCCACTTGGGCGACGCAGGCAGACGGGATCGACTGTGTCATCTCCGGGGCCGGCCTCCAGCTGAAAACACTGGAGGATGTCTTGGGCAAGTCTGGTGATCAACATACCGGCGCGAGGCAATGGCCCGCGTGCCGTCGGAACAATGCCCACTCTTGCCAGCACTCGGCTCGGTGGCCGCCTCATTCGTAAGATCGGTGGGAGGGGTACGGCGTCATAGGCGATGTGACTTTTCCATTGTTTCCTACCTTCTTTTCTTTTGCCATTCGTCCTCGCCGCCTCGTCTCTTCTCTTCCTGGCTTCCCACGCCCGTCCCCCCGTTCGTCCTTTTTTTTCCGAGTTCGTTTACTCATGGTTGCTATTTTGGAAGTCTCTTGATGCTGTTGTTGCTTTATCCCGTGTCGCACTCGAGGCCGCACTGATATGGCCTCGTGTGGTCGCGGGGCCACTTGGAATCACAGTCGGAGCCATCTTGAGCCATATTTTTGTGGACCCGCCCTCCCGTCCCCACCCGTGCGTCAGCCGCCAACCGCTTCCGCGCCAGGTCCGCGGCGGCCAGGCCCGCCGCCAGTTCAAGGGCGGCGAGGCCAACAGGAAGCCCACGAAACGCCGAGAGCTTCACAGCTCGTGCTTGCGCGTGCCCTCCTGGCACCACCCCCACACGGGCCCCGCCCCGGCAGCGGCGTAGAACCAGCCCAGACCGACTTGAGGGCCTTTCGGAGCCCTGGGGGGTTTGGGCGGAAGCGCGACAGGAATTGCAGCAGGAATTGTGGCCAGAAGTGTCGCCTGCGCTCGAGCGGGAGCCCCAAACGGCAAATTGGAGCTTGCCCAGCACAACTCTGCGTGCAACTCCGCGTTTGGAGTGCGCGCGCGGCCCGCCCAGGGGGCAGCTCCGTTCCGCGGGCCCATACAGTCTCCTCGTCGCCCTGGCACGCCCCCCCCCCCGCCCCCCCAGCGCGCCCCCTCTGCGCAGTCCCGCTGGCACACCCCCTGGCGCACCCCTCCAGCGCGCCCTCTTGGCAGGCCCCCCGGCGAGCCCTTGGCGCACCCCCTGGAGCCCCCGCCGCCGCAGTCCCCCGCCGCACTCCCCTGGCACGCATTCCCGACGCACCTCGCCAGCACATCCCCCCGAAAGCGCGAGGCCCAGGGTGCGGAAGGGGGGGGGAATTCGCAGCCTTGCGCGCGGTACTGCGCGCCCTGAGCGCGGGACAGTTGCTCCAGGCAAAGGCCCCGGGGGTGGAGTGCGCAGACGCCTGCGCATTAACCGCGGAAGACGGACCCATGCAGTGGTCCCGACGGGCGTGGGTTGTAGTCCCCGGGGTGGGGTAGACTGCGTAAGCATAGGCTGCAATCTTTGCTTTGGGCAATATTGGGTGCGTTGCGGCGCTCAGGGGGCAACATTGAGCTACTTGGGGCTGCCTGGGGGCCGTTTGGGATAATTTGGGGCGCCAGCGAGGGCAAACATTCAGGGGTCGATATCCATTTGCTCACGTGAATCTTGTGGAGATGAGACTGCCCTCGCGGCGGCGCCATGTCCAGCGTGGCGCGCCGCCCTGGCGGGCCAACGCGCAAGGTCGCTACAGACTACATTCAAGACGCTGAAATAAGGACAGCCTTGGGCTCAGGAGGGGCGTGGGTTTCTTGGTCATTTTCTGATATGTGGTATGGAGTTCGTTTGTGGCCTAGGCCCGCCGTCACCAGAAAAGCCCGTTCATTACTCATCATACGTTATTTGTAGGCATTACGCTGACTGTAGTGCATCTTGCACATGAGCCGCTTCTTTTCGTCGCGCACGTGGCGCAAGCACCCCCTGCTGCGTGGGCAGGCGGGGAGCCCGACAGATCCACCTGCGCAACGCAGAAAGACGGGATCGACTGCGCCGAAATTCCCGCGTAAGCTGCCCGCAGAAGACGCACGTCAGCGCCCTCGTTTCCAGTGTGGCGGGCCGCCCTGGCGAGTGTGGCGGGCCGCACTGGCGGCCCGCTGCAGCCAACGCGCAGGGTCGCTATGTCATCGCGCAGCAGGCTCGTTTCTCGCTGGTGGCCCAAGGAAGCCGCCGCGCAAGGTCGCGACGCCATCGCGCGCGAGAGATCTGTGTCGTGCCGTCGCTCGCTTCTGGAGGCGAGATGGGGGCGAAGACGAACGCCGTGCCAGAGCCTTGGACATTCTGCCAGCGCCGAAGCGAGAGCGGCCCTTGAACACGGCGCAAACAGTGGCGCACCCGCGGGGCCCGCGGGGGAAAGCGCGGGCCTCGGCCCGTCGGCTTTGACGTGCCCATGCGCCGCGGGTGCCGTCTGAGAGCATCTCCGTGGGGCGCGCGACCACTCAGCCACTCAGTCACTCAGCCTCCTCTTCCTCCTCCTCCTCCTCCTCCTCCTCCTCCTCCTCCTCCTCCTCCTCCTCCTCCTCCTCCTCCTCCTCCTCCTCCTCCTCCTCTCCTCCTCCTCCTCACCCTCCTCCTCCTCCTCCTCCTCCTCCTCCTCCTCCTCCTCCTCTTCCTCCTCCTCCTTGCAGTCTCTTGGCGCGCACTCCCTGCGGGGCATGGAAGGAGCCCAGGAGAGGGGGAGGCCGAAGGGGAGGAAGGGGGCCGAGGCGGGGGGGGGCAGCAGTGGCAACAGCAGCGACAAGAGCAGGAACAGAAACGAAAAGGAACCTGCGCGCCAGCAGGAGAAGCAGGAGGACGGGGGGTAATAAGGACGGTGAGGAGTGGGTGGCCCGGGAGGAGGAGGAAGAGGAGGGGAGGAGGAGGAGGAGGAGGAGGAGGAGGAGGAGGAGGAGGAGGAGGAGAAGGAGTAGGATGAGGAGGAGGCCTGCATAGTCGCCCCTCTCGCAGGCGACTCGCTGCTCCTGCGCCTCACCGCCGCTACTCCCTGGACCTTTTTTCCCATGGTGCGCTCCGACCAGAGGCCCCGCCGGAGAGAATCCAGCTGCGGCGACGAGGGATCGGAGGGCCCAGACAGTCGATCTCTTGACTTGCCCAAGGCGGGGCCCCATGGAAGCCCCGACGCTCTCCCCAGGGCCAGCCTTTCATCGGGGGTCGTTTTTGTTGACAGCCCCCGGGGGCCAGCGAGCTGCCAAAACCTCGCGTCGCGTTTTTTCGGGACGGGGGCACGTCTGGGCCCCTCGCCGAGGCGCAGCTGCTGGAAAGCATCCCGAGGCTGCGAGACCGCCGAGGGCCGATGCACAAACGCCCGACTGTGCTGAACCTCGGACCTCGATGCCTCGTGGCTTCTTCGCGGCGCAAGCCTGCCTGGGAGACGGGCAGCGGCATCGGTGTCTTTGGTCCCTCCTGAGGGCCGCAGTTTTAGACCTCAAGGGCGTAAGAAACGCCCCTACCCTGGATCACGAAGAGGGAAAGCCCTGCGTATCGCGCGTGTCGCGCGGCGTCCTGGCGGCTCTCTGGCCTTTGGGAGCGCCCAGGAGGTTCACAGACCACGCACTTGCAACCCAGGGACGGGGCGTTTTTGTCATCCCTCAAAGACTGCCAATAACTTTCTCCCTTGAGCAGTCGCGGGCTCTCGCAGCTTTGACCTGGCAGTTGGTCGTTGGCTTTGCGGCTTGACCGATGGTCAACGTTGCGGTGCACCTCTCCGGTGGTCAGCTCTGGGCCATCCGTCCCCAGCGAGGCTTTGGACATGCGAACGCGTTCGGTGCTCGTCCGCCTCCCTCGTTTTCTCTCCCTCCTGCACCGGCTCCCTCTTTCGCCGTCTTTTCCTTCCTCCTCCTCCTCCTCCTCCTCTTTCCCCTCCTCCTCCTCCTCCTCCTCCTCCTCCTCCTCCTCCTCCTCCTCCTCCTCCTCCTCCTCCTCCTCCTCCTCCATGGCTTGTGCATCGCATAGTGGGACCCCCCTTCCCTCAGCGGGGGGAAGCCGGCAACTCTCATCCTCACTGCATCGGCTCGTGGAGAGAAGCTTCTGCCCACCCACCCCTGCGCTGCAGCGCCCCGCCCTCCCCGCGGCCCTCCGCGCGCGCGCGGCGCCCCGCGCGGCGACGAGGCGGCCCCGCTGCACCACTGGCAGGGCGACCCCGCTGGGGGCCAGCTGCGGGCGCCGGGGCACGAAGGCAGCGGCGGGGGGTACGACAAGAAGATTCCAGGTTGCGCTGCAATCAAGCGGTGGCGTAGCGTCCTGGCGTGTCTATAGGCCCACCAAACAATGTTCTAAGAACCTTTCGTGCTTTCCACGAAATGTTCTTAGAACATTTCTGGCTGGGACTTTTAATCACATCGGGTCTGTGTTCTAAGAGCATTGCTGTTGTTCTTAGAACATTTGTGGATTCTAAGAACATTTCGTGGTAGGAATGCTGGGACGGTCGGTCCCTGCTCAATGCAATCGTATACGGGATTTTCTCTGTTCAGGTTTTGATTCTCAAGTTGTCAGTGGAGCTGCAGTGCCACACAGAGTTTCAGGCATTGAGTTTGCACCTGCACGTGGGGGCCAGACCCCCTACTGCGTTCGCTTACTCTGCGCTCGCTCACTCTGCGCTCGCTCACTCTGCGTCTTGCTGCTTCGTCTGTTCCATGCTGCATTCGCTCACTCTGCCGTTGCAGTACGCTCTCGTTGTGGCCACTGTGGAAGACGCTCAGACGAGCGAGGCCAGGTGGGACTGTTGCCGACTGTTCACGCACGACGGTTTTCCAGAAAACAAGGCCGGCGCGCGCGCGATGTGCTAGCATCAGCTTGTAGACACTCATCTGGGAAGGGCCCAGACCCTTGTTGCGTCGTAGCAAGAATCACGACGGGAGGTTTTTGGCCGTTTTCCTCGGTTCTCGGCGGATCTCCAGCTCCGGGATGCTCTCCAGCTGCTGCGCCTCGCCGAGGGCGTTCCCAGGAGGCCCGGATCGTTCCGAACGGCCGCCGGAGAGCCGAGGTGTGGTCCGGAAAGCCAGACATGCCCGCGTCGTGAAAAAAAACAAGAGAAAAAAAAAGAGGTTTCTGGCGGACCGTACTCTAGATTTCGTAATAAAAGGGAGGGGGTCTGGACCCTCCAAGACAAGCCATTTCAGACCTCCCCCGTGGGAGAACCCTCCAAAACATCGTCCCCAGACCCCCCAGGCCCTCCAAGATAGCCTGGAAGAGACCCCCCCCCGAAATGAGACCCCCCTCCCTTCATTACGAAATCTGGAGTACTCGCGGTGAGAAGCCAGCCCCGGGGCGAGGGTTGGGGCTTCAGGGGGACCGCGTACGGAAAATGTCGAGACGGCCCATGTCGGAGGGGGGGGTCGGATGCTCGGTCCTCCTGCTGCTGCTGCTGCTCCTGCTCCTCCTCCTCCTCCTCCTCCTCCTCCTCCTCCTCCTCCTCCTCCTCCTCCTCCCTCTCATCATCATCATCATCATCATCATCATCATCATCATCATCATCATCATCATCATCATCATCATCATCATCATCGCCCCCCTTCTCCTCCTCCTCCTCCTCCTCCTCCTCCGCCTCCCCTCCTCCTCCTCCTCCTCCTCCTCCTCCCTCCTCCTCCTCCTCCTCCTCCTCCTCCTCCTCCTCCTCCTCCTCCTCCTCCTTCTTCTCCTCCTCCTCCTTCTCTCGCCTCTTTTTCATCCTCCTCATCCTCCTCGTCCTCTTCCTTCTCCTCCTTCTCGTCTTATTATTAGTCTTATTCTTATTCCTCCTCCTCTTCCTCCTCCTCCTCCTCCTCCTCCTCCTCCTTCTCTCGCCTCACTGTCCTCCTCCTCCTCCTCCTCCTCCTCACTCATCATCATCATCATCATCATCATCATCATGATCATCATCATCATCATCATCATCATCATCATCATCATCATCATCATCATCACCATCATCATCATCATCATCATCATCATCATCATCATCATCATCATCATCATAATCATCATCAGCAGCAGCAGCAGCAGCAGCAGCAGCATCATCCTCATCCTCATCCTCATCCTCGTCCTCTTCCTTCTCGATCCCCTTCTCGTCTTCTTCTTATTATTGTTATTCTTCCTCCTCCTCCTCCTCCTTCTCATCGACCTTCTCCTCGTGCTCCCACATTCCCCTGCCCGGCTCCGCGGGGGGTGCCCGCGCAAGTTTCCTCCTGTGGCGGAGGCAGAAATGCAAAGGCTCTGGGGGGGGGAGGCAGCACACTGGCATCCAGGGAGGCTCCAAGCGCAGGCGAGAGGTCAGGAGCGCAAGAAGGACGAGCACGTTCACGAACTACTTTGGTTTCGAGAACACAAATGACGCGAACGTTCGTATCACGAGGCTGGTCTCGCGGACTGGGGGGGCCGAATGCATGTACGTGATTGGGCGCGTACGTCCTTTGCGGGCTCCCGACGAGATGGAGGCCCGCATCCTGGAAGGTCTACTGGCCCGTACAAGCGAGCGCGGAAGCGGCCAGCGCCTGCGAAGGCACCCAGGAAGGCCTGCCGGCCCGTGCTTAGTCAAGCGCGGAAGCGGCGCAGGCGCCTGCGAGAACGGCACGAAGAGCAACTTTTTGTCTCAGAGTCGGGGCGCCGGCGGTCCCACGGCGCGGGCCGAGAAAGGGGGGGGGGGCCGCGAGCGGCGAGCTGTGCACCGAGGGAGCGGGGGCAGAGGCTCACCACCCACCAAACCACCCCAACCCAACCCGAAGGCTCATATTTTCCCTCGATTTCCAGTGGGGGGGGGGGGGGGGGCGGGGAACATCGAAAAAACACATTTGGAACCCTTACCCCCCCCCACCCGAAATTCGGGTCTTCGGGTTGGGTTGGGGTGGTCTGGTGGGTAGTCAGAGGCAGAGGGCGGCCGCAGAGAGCGGGGGCTGCGGCCGGGCGGAGCGCTCAGGGCGTGCGCTCCTGCACGCACGCGCGGCGGCCCCGGGAGGGACAGAAGGCGCGAAGAGCGCCCAGGCGTTCGACGTACTGCGGCTCCCCATCCGCGGGGCCCCCGCCAAGTCCCGACCCAGGGTGCTTTTCGATCGTCCTCGCCGAGAAAGACCGCACGCGTCCCAGCGATGCCGAGGGCACTGGAGACACCTGAAGCAGCATCCGCGAAGCTATCGTACAGTCCGTAGATCTGTTGACCAACTTGACAGGTCCCGACCCTTCCCCCCGGAGCCCAGTCTCATGTCCCGAGTCCTTCTTGGACGGCCCCGGGGGCCCGGCGAGGCCCCCGGCCGCCGAGAAGGGGCAGAAAGAGGAGCGTCGTGCCTCGCTTCGCGATGCGAGCCTGTCTGGGGCCCGCCTCCCCCCCTCCCCCCCTGGGGGGCGCCCCCCCCCTCCCCCCCCCCCTGGGGGCCGCCCGCCTGGGAGCCGCCCCCCCCCCCCCCCCCCGCCCTGCGCCGCGGCTCCCCCGACAGCGGCCAGCCGGCAGCGCTGCTCCCGACAGCTTGCTGTCGGGGTCGCTGGGCGGCCGGCGCGGGGCGCGCGCGGCTCCCGGCGGCGGGGGGGGGGAACGGGGCTGGGGATCGGTGGGTGGACAGCGCCGTGTGGAGCCTCTCGAGGACGGACGGCGTCGATCGATGATCACCCGAACACGTGGTATCAGGAGGAAAAGAAACAGACAGACACAATTTATCCTGGATTCCCCAGAAAATATGGGAAAATATGGGAAGTGGGTGGGAAGACAGAAACCCAGAAAATATGGGAAAATATGGGGAGTAGTTTTATTTGTGTGTATTTATTTGTGTGTCCTGGGGCCCCTTCATTTTAGCCGAACGCGTGTTTAACCCCCGTCGGCCCGCAGCACATCGGCTGCGTCGTCGTGGAGGGCTTCGGTGGGCAGGCGCGCGCTCGCGCGAGCACAGGTTCGGAGGGCCATCGAGAAAATGCCGAAAGGGAATGGCTGGGGAGGGGGCGGAGGGAGTTCGCTGGAATCCGCTGATCACCACAGCGTGGCCGGAAGCTCACAATGATGGCAGACAGGTGCGGTCCGGAATTCTGGCTCAGCGTGTCGCTCCGCCAGTTCTAGCCCACCACGCTGCGGCGCGACACGCTGTCCGTGTTCCAGGCCCCAGGCGTCGACGTCGCGAGCCTTTCCCGACCTCCTGCACCGCACAGCGGAACAGCACGCCGTCTGCTCGCAAGGCACAGCGTGGTTCTGCAACCGCCGCCGCGACACGCTCAGTCAAAGTTCCCGACCGTAGACAGCCCCGCACATTACGTCTCGCAAGGACGGATGACCACAAGGGCGAAAGGGAAAGGCCGGGAAGGGGGCGGAGGAACAGGAGGTCGGTCGGAAAACATCTTTCCCCATCCTCATCCGCATCCTTCCTCCAGTACGCCTCCCTCCTCTACCACCACAGTCGACTGACACCACCCCACCTACAACCAAACGTGCTGAACTGTTGCGACCTTGCCGCGCACTCTTCTCGGAGATGTCTCGGGTTTCCGTGATAACGTGCCGAGACTGCACGGGGGACTTGCCTAAATGTTCGACATCGCTGGGTTGTAGGTGGGGTGGTGCCGTCTGATTTCTGGCCTGCACAGCCTCGTGATTCCAGTGAGGCCCCGTGCTGAACTCCACGGGCCCTCGGAGGCTCACGGCTGGGGCTGGGGCGACAGAGCGAAAGGAGGTCTGACCAGCAAGCTGGGCACAAAAGCGCGAGCTGCTCTTGCGGCTGCACGTCCTGCCATTGTACCAGCATCGCCCGTCACCTCCTGGCAAGCGATGCGTTCTTGTACGTACAGCCGGCTCGTCGGCATGCCGCCGATGCAACGCCAATGACGCGCGAAGCCCATAGGTCCCTGGCCGTTTCAGCCCCCCGCTAACAAATATATAGGCCCCCCGTTGACGCCTGAAGGGCCACAAGGACGGTACCGTCTGCGACCGTGTTCTCCTCGTCCGTCATTATTGTTGCCGCCAGCGATGCAAATGTGACTGTCAGCTCACGTCGCTGCGCCGTTTGTTCTCGACGCGCCCAAGCAGACGAAGCCGCTACCGCGGCAAACCCTACGGCGAATCTTGCGTCCGAGGTGGAGTTTGCCTTGGTGGCCGAGGCGCCCTCTCGAAGACGTAAGGCCGCGCGTCGGAACAAATGGCGCGACGACTCATGGAGGCTGTCATAGGGTGGAGGCGTTCGTTGAGGAATGTGCCCGGGAGGTTTCAGACCATGAAGGGTTCCTCATCTG